TTTAAACACTTATGTCAGGTGGTTGAAAACAGTCAGGAGGGAAGCGCTGCACCAATATTTCTTACCCTGAAGGAATGGATGTCCTCTCTGGGACTGGAACTTACGGCACCTAGCGCTGCGGTCAGAAGAGTTATTGTTGAACTACTTGGTCTCCACAAAGGGCCTCCTGCAGGACTGTAATTGTCACCGGGTAGTAACCATTTCGATTTATTGTTTTAAATTAATACATATATTTTAAAAGATTTTGTAATTAAACTATTATACAGCACGAACCTGTATTTATTTATGTGATTACTCATGAATCATTCTTCTATGTATTGTAAAAACTGTATGACTCACCTTTGCCGTTTAGCACACAGGTGAATAGACTGTTTGGTGCAAAACATGTTAATGCTATATATGAACTGTGATCAAGATTTGACCAAATAGTTTTAAAATAATTGGGCGCGGAGTGAGAAGTAGAAATTCCAATGTTTCGTTCGGCAATCTCGTTGAACTTCTTCAGGGAAATTAATCGAAATTAACATAACAGAGGTTTATATATAAAAGGATATCTCTTGTTTTTATTATACATGTTGATACCTGTTTCATGACTCCTATGGTTGAACAAAGTTTTTAAAAACAAGAGTTGTTCCTTTTATATATAAACCTCTGTTATGTTAACTTCGATTAATTTCCCTGAAGAAGTTCGGATGAGATTGCCTAAAGAAACATTGGAATTAATCATTTCACTATCGCTGAGATTTTACAAATATAATTTTTTACAAAAGTGTTAATGCTATCTGGAATATTAACAGACGATTTAAAAGTTAACGGTATCCAGTGTTCCACTTAGCTATTTAAATTCACGTTCATAGACTGACGATATCCAGAGTAACTATAAAAACCATCCTGACAACTGCATAGGCAACTTGTAATAAGCTATTATTTTTCTCACACAGCTGTTAAGCAGCACCTGGTCACATAAACGACACTTGATTAATTACATACTTAATGTCTGAGATGACGATCTTTTGCGATACTTCCACAGTTTCACTAACAATATTTTATAACAATAGAAATTACTGTTTCTGGAACGGCAAGCGAAGGTAATGTGATAACCAGTATGTCTCTAGACAATTCCATTATAAAAGATTAAAGATGAATTATAATTTGAACACAATTATCCTAGATACCTGGTGGATACTGTCAGCTTGATCCAATAACAACTGTTTTCAAATTCTGGCTTATTTCTAGTCCCCCATAATGCAGTTGTCTAGCAGTATGCTGGGTAGTAGCAGAAAGCCTAAATCTGTTTGCTGTAAAAGTTAACAAAGTCTCCAAATATCGTGAGACTTGCCAATGGTTAACATGGTCGATTTGGTGTTACAGTTGACACTGAGATAAGAGAACAATTTGGCCTTTATGGTAGCGTATTATTCCAACACAGAATAATTTTATGCGATAAAAGCATAGAACGATACAGTAGTGCCTGAAACGTCATCAATAAATAAATAATAGTGTATCGCTGTGCGAAATAAATTTATTCTCTGATGGAATTATAGCTGAGATTGTTCAGTCTTTTATTCTGACTGTTTTTCTAATTTTATTTCCGATGTTTTCATGTCAGAATGCAGAAAATTCATCAACGTTCGCATTATTTTTGGTGAGGAAATATTATTTGTCTGCCAGACAGATTAAGCCCTACACATAACCATACTATTAATTTTATTTATGAAAGAAAAAGGTAAACATTTTTCCTAGACATACTTTGAATTGAAAAATAAGAGAGAAGATTTGTAGTTCAAGTGGATTTTTTTGGTGTGATTGTGTTTTCCATTCCGGAGAACATAATATGATCACTGAAATCATCTACATTGTAAAGGCCTAAACTAGCCATGAAATATCCACCTCTCTTATTCAATCGATTAACCTGAGCAAACAAAATATAAGATTACTAAGTGAAAAACTGTTGAAAAGTAGGTACTTAGTGACATTTATGAAGAATTCAAATGACACTAAGATCTATTCTGTATTTGAATCTGTGAGGGAATGTAGAGTAGGTTTCATTACACAAAAGACAAAAATCAACCATGAGTAGAAACCGCCACTTAACAAAGTCTACTTAGAACTTTGAAGCAATTCATTTGTCTCCATTTACGTGTTAATTCTTTTTCTATCATACCCTATAGACATACACAATCTGTCTACTGATGGTCATATATACTTTCACAAATTTCTATTCATAATCCATGGTTTCTGATAAATTTAAAATTAAGTGTCAATTGGTTGTGAGAGAGTGGCACTAATAATTCAGATGCCATTGGCTTGAATACTGCGGGGACACAGAATTTTATTTGGCATTCAGACATAAATATAAATTAGTAGACTGTGTGAAATACATGAATATATATATATATTATTTAGACTAGAAGTGACTAGCACTTTCGCAGAAAAAACAACCATTTTAGCAGAAAAGATCACCCTTCCGTTTTTTTCTCCTTATATTGGTGACATTACAGCGCGGTTCACTTGAAACATTACTCTTGAAACCAACACGTAAAGGCTTTCGCATTCAGAATAACATAATATGTCATCTAAACCATTCACAGTTTCCAACATTCTCAACAAAATACTACACAATTTTATTAAAAATTACTTCCATTTAACAATTTTACGGGTGAAATTTCAACGATAGAAAACCCATACTTTGCTACAATAGGCTGATATGAAAACATGCCGTTTATAGGTAACGTATAATATTCAAATATTGGTTTGTAGGGATTTGATTGAGTGGTTTCAGGATTACATCATGAGCTGACATCTGATAAAGAACCACTGGAAAACCTGTGAATACTGGACAGCCGTTTCGTGCTAGTTTGGGACTTTTCATCAGTACGCGCTCACCGCCAGGGTTAGAACCCAGGACCTTTTGGTTACAAGGCGAGCTTCTAGACCATTAAGCCACTGGGAGCCGATCCAATGGCAGACCAATGAATTCCAACTTCTGTCAATTCATGACATAGCGCGATTGCCGGCCAGTGTCTTCGGCGAGTATTTCTCCTCACACCCGACCTATTGCTTATCAACTTGAGAGATTTATTAGTGACACATGAACCCACTTCCCCTGTCATGACATCGATCGTTCCCAACTTCTTATAAAATTTGAAAAAAATATTGACGGTGTATAAATCACAGAAAGGAATGTTGAATTATCAAAACACTATCGATTAGAAGAACATGTAACATTATTTGGGAATAATACGATTGGATGGCATCGAGTTGACTGTTAATAATGTTAACAAAAATTGGTGACTTTGAAGATAATAATTTAAAAGTTCTGTCTGTACAATTTACAAACTGATTTGAGTTAACCACTGTTCCCGGAAAGGAGATGTCTGAATACCTATTTGGCTATGGTTATCCTTCGAAAGTGATTCACCATTACTTATATCACTTAAGTTTTCATTTATAAAATATTCATTTATTGATCGTACAAGTTATCAATGTTTCCTTCGATACTTTTAATAATCTCCTCAGTATTAAATAGTCTCATTACTTACACAAAATACTTCCTCTCCATATTAACAACGCTTTGGTAACTCGATACAGAATACCTTCCTTTTATTGATGTTGTATACATTTTAGTAGGTTTTTAGGTTGTAAGCAGTGGAAAATAATCATGTAGATTATGAAGATTACTAAATATTGTCGTGTGACAGTTTTCACTTCTGTATTCATGAATTTTAAAAGGAGGAAGTAGCACATAAATCATCACTGTATTCTCATATCCACATTTGATTTTGATGGCTGTCGTTTTCGGCTTCGTTAAATCATAATTATTATTTGAAATAAAAGATTTCCTGACAAGGAAAACAGGAACAATTTTTAATTTTTTTTAATATTCTTAGTTTCTTAAGCTTATTTTCTTAAGCGGCTACCTTCGAAACCATTCAAACTGTTTGAGAGACAACTTACTAGGATAAATGCAGTTTTGAAATTACAGTATGACATGAAATCGGTCAAAATGGACCTATAAAGAATCTACCGTTCGTAATGAAATGTCACCATGATTTCCTTCAGAAACCCGAATTACCTTACTGACAACAGTATGACGTGTTTCACAATACGCACAGAAAATGTCAACGTTTTCATTAAGGCGCTATATTTAACTGGTAAGTATTAAGATCACCTCAATCCAATGAGTGAATGCTACTTGTTATCGTGAGCAGTTTTGAACCACCCTTAGTGAGTATATTTAGATACTCATTTTCCTGTACAATAAATATAATATAGATGTGATTTCAGTTCTACTCAAAAATGGATATTAAGTAATTTGTTTCACCATTGATTTTTCAGAATTCGTATATTTCCAAAGTACTTAAAGTATACTTAGTTCCTGGCAGATTACTAATTACGCCACTGGTTACACTAAGTGGATGCCATGCATCATAGGTAATGGCATCAGTATTCATTGCTGAGAGAAATAGACTGAAGATTATTTAGTCAGATGTAGGTGAATATGCTAAATACTCAGTCATTTCCATTGTATATTTGCTAGGAAGCTAGAAAACTGTCTAAACTAGCCAAATAAACCTGTCTTTGAACTTGCTACTCAATGTCCACTTTAATGCGCTACAGTTATTTTCTTTTCATATCTGTAAAGGTTTTTCATCCTGTGCGCTGTTGTATTGCTTTGATTTTAAGTATTTTGTTTCATACTTAGACACCTACTAAAGTAATAATAATAATAGACTTTACGCTCTGATCTGTTTTCCACTGCAGTAAAAATAGCAATCATTTTATAATCATTGATAAAAATGATTCTAACTAACAAAATATCAGATGTAGTATTATTCTATTGGCTAGTTAGGCTGAAAACAAAATGAGGAGGAAAACAGTATGGAATTATTTCCTTTTTCAACTCACCTATCGTATTTTACCAACTAAAGTATATAGACAAAGAGTAACGGAAAAGGCTTCTGATTGGTCAATTCAACTGTGACCTTCAAAGCTCCTCTCTTTCGCTGCTATCGATTTCTGTCATAAGACGGTTGATAGAGAGACTTTACGTAACTTATTTTTTATGTGTGAGCATCAGTATCAGACGGTGAACAGAGCTGTAGTAAAGCTGTGAGGTGCAAGAGAAAAGCTAAGCTCCTTCATTTCAGTCAATATAATATGCACAAGAATTAGAAAAGCGTTATCACAATGTTCATTTTAACAAAATGTGTGATTCTATCCCTATATTTCATCATTGGCTGCAACTTAACATATGGTCGGATGGGTTATTATAATCATTTTAAACGATTCGACACTGGTTTACTGTCAGAAGGTCTACCAATGTGGTTAGAAAAACGCGAAGAATTCAGAAATCCTTTTAATTATCAAGGTGAGTAAACGGGCGCTTTATTACTAGCTTATGAGTTCATGTGTACTGAAAATAAATTATACTGACAAGTTAGTCCGAATTCCATTCAAACCAATCATCAACAAGACGCATTCTTTAAAATATACAAAGTCAATTTTAAAACGTAAAACAATAACTGAAAGTTTCAAAATGTCTCAGAACTATCAACTAATGTCCTTTTTCACTGTTTTGGATACTACATATCTATCACTACATATCTTACAGTATGTTAATTCTCGAAGAACAAAGTAAGCAAATAGTCCTTCAACACTCAGTAGCAATTGAGAGACTTAGAGGACAGTACTGCGATCACAGAATGTGCTTTTAAAAGACAATTATGACCACTCCTGTGATTAGAATTTCATTAGCTAGTTAGTTAGTTGACGAAAAATACTCAAGGTGTAGCGGTGATTCAAAACATAACTGAAAGTAGCTCATACTGAGGAAGCCTCAATTAAGACGAAAGCGGTATACTCGGTTATCTAACCCGAAACTTCTCTTTTTCTTATTTAGATTCACTAAAACTTTACACCATTATAATGAACGTGTTACTGAGAGGTATACCACGTTAAAAATGAAAAATAGGGACAGCTCTACATAGATCATATGTATTTTTGGCTGAATCTAATAAGGATGACGGAAATTATAATTGTTTGCTTAGCCTTGCTATTAACTACGACGATGAAAGCTTTGAAATTAAACCAACAGCTCAGAGAACACAACTAATTCCAAATTATTAACGTGCTTCCGGATTTCATAAAGGCTGTGGGAATAAAATGCCAATAACTTTATTCATACTTTCTAGATGAATTATGACTTTTTCGCTATTCTTCGCCTCACATATGAATACAGTGACTCAATTACAAATAAACGAAATTATATGCTATTTGACGGGATAATTTTTTGAATGCTGTGTTTCTGTCAACATACTTTAATGATGCTAGAAGGTAAACATGGAGTTATTTGGTTAGTGGTGGATGTTATAGGGATACCAAATGCACATCTTTTTGTCTCCAGGACTCATCAGCTTGACGTACATGTGCTTCAGTGAGTGGTGGTGTAATAGATTGTGACTCAAAACCAGAATCCATCTTTTCAAATGCCAATGGGTTTTCCAGTAGGACAGGGGGACACAAATAACATGTCATGAAAGGCCAGTAATTAAGGTTTCAGTAAAATCAGACAACGGGAAATTAAAGAAAATTATTTCACGGCCCCACAGCCCAGCCGGTGACGATTTACTGTTTGAAACAATGGGTTCGAGTCTCAGTGAAAATACAGTCACTTAATGAATATGGAGATACAACCGGTTGACTTATCTCACCCAGAATGAGACAGGTATCCTTAGGTGTGTGGATGATGAGATCTGAAAAATGTTTCACTGAGAGTGAATATGTAAAAGTACCTTACGTTTTTATATCTTAGAATACAATTTTGTATGTTTGATTTAATTCAGAGGGACTAGTTTATATTCCTATTTTAACGGACGGATATATCCTCCAGAGAAATAAGCGTTTCCAAAACCTTTTAGCATTAAACCCTCGAAATGAAAATCATTACTTTCGACACCCAATTTGTATGCTGACTTCAAAATACATTTAATGCAATCTGTTTGTACTATGTAGTAACGTAGGCAAATTACCAGTCTTCGCGATGATTATAAAACTGTAGGAAAGCCAACTAATTATCAAAAATGTTTTGAAAGTTGTAGATTATATAACAGGGGATGACCAGAGTAACTCCCTGAATAACCTTGGCGGTTAATCAAATACCCATTGTATTAGATTGAGGAAGTAAGGCTGTTTAGGGGTATAAATGACTAATTTATCTTAGGCCTTACTACCGAATCTGCTCAGCATGAACTGTGACACTGGAATACGTGTGACTGATAGCTTACACTGATCAATTTTCACTATGAAAAGCACCCATAATCTAGCACCTGGTTAAAAAGGAAATCATAACATCTGGACCAGCTATCTGTCATAAGCTAACATTTCTCTCTAGCGACTACAGAAGAAAGTAACTACCCTTTTTGCACACAAGTTTTAACACCAACAGGATACCTAAAAGCTGTGGTGTGTATAGCTATTGGGAAGGCCTATAAAGCAACTCTCACTCTGACATCAGGAAAAAGCATAAACTACTCCCTTAATCTTAAAGTAGTTTCATTCACTGAATTAAATCGTCAGAATCTGACCATCTGTTGCAGATCGTAGTTCTCACTTACGCCCGTCTGTATCAGTAGTATTCCTTCAGTTACCTTCTTCATCTCTAATTGATTCATCTTCTGAAATTGATCCTATTACTCATTTATGCCTTCCGAAGATATTTTTTCAGTGACAGACTTATGCGTGTCACAATATGGACGGAGTCTATTATCAACTAAATACCATGTTGTCTATTAGAATAATGTGAATATCGAAAAGTCGTTGCCCCAGCGTTCACTCAGTATATTGTGTAACTTAATTTTTTTTCGTCATTTATTCAGATATTTCAAAAGCATGGAAGGAGAGAAACGATCTAGAAGTCGATGAATTGAACCGAATAATCAGTCAAAGTGAAATTTACCGCCCCTCATCAACTTATTTTGATCGACAGATAAAATGTAAGTTATGCCATTCCCTGGTTGTATAGCATTAGTGTGTATAGTTTAATGATGATTCTATGCTTCCTTCTGAATAAGCTGTCTTAGTTTGTAAAACATTAGTTTATATGATAAAAATCATATATTTACCATGATGGAAAATGATAAGAGAATAAAACGTGCTGCATAGAGCTTCAGCAGGTTGAGTAGACGCTGAAATCCTTCCACATCTTATAAAGAAATTCTTGAATAGTTTGTCAGATGAAGGTAACTCATACTGACTATGTAATTTGTCGACGAATCGTTGCCTTCCATTTTCCATTAACTTAACTATACTAATTGGAAACTCGTTAGGCTAGGCTGGATAGAAAAGTTCAGAATCAAGAAAACCATTGAATTAGATTTAAGCTTCTAAGTACTATAGTCAAGGCATTATCATTTCCAGTGGAAGAGTCCATTGACTTAGAACCAACGTATTTAGTGCTATCGGTTACAAACTCTGTTCGATTTTGCTTGATCAAATATATTGGCTTTTATGTTTAAAATGTTTATTAACGACAGATTTTTCTGAAAAGGTCACGCGATAAACTATGAACCATCATGGAATTTATAGAATATTTGATGGGAATAAAGAGCTGTAACTCTAGCAATCGACTGACAAGGTGACCTCAAGGCAAACAATTAGCATCAGTCATTAAAATTTTACGTTTGCATTAATAGTCATCCATTTGGAAGTCAAGTGAGCAACTTTAGTGGTACGGTAATTTTACACTACAGTTATGTGTCCAGATTTCTGAAATGTTGAACAAAAATCATCACGGGATATTGCCTTATGAAATACACAGCACTTCTAAATTGTCATCTAGTTAAATACTGTTTATATGCCAGAAGGAGGTTCTTAAAACACAAAGACTGGTTCACCTTCAGAAACGGAAAATACCGTTTACAACAATGCACTGTCACGAATTCTGTCTGTGGAAAATGAACAACTTGACACTATTATTAGCAAGATTTCAAGTCCCCTCCAATGATGAAATCATACTGATTGAACAAATAAGGTGTGGCTATTAAGCCTAAATACGTGCGTCTGTGGTATAGCGATTAGGACGCTCGCCGACCATGCACATGGTCCGGGGTTCGATCCCCGTCCGACGCACTCCTTCACTTCGCTAAGCCAGAAATAATGCTGGTAAAGAGGAAAGGTTGGGCATGAGGCTAGCAACCCCATCCTGTAAAAATGAAACACTGCTACAGAAACTTCAAGCCACTAGCTTGAAGCCCAATGTTCCACTGGGGAACGTGAAGGAAAATAAAAATTAAGCCTAAATGAAACCTCACTAAAAAAAATCCGGCGAACAAGGGCAATCTAGCTACCGTGCCGCTTAGAACTCAGAGTTCATCTCGACAAGATAGTACTACTCAAATAGATAGGTAAACACTTTCTCACAAACCATATTACTCACTCGACCATATACATCATAGCTCTAACAATCTGCATTATTTCATTGATTCTTTAGCTGGTAATTATGCCAGTACTAAGGGAATATTTAGGGACTGTCTGAAAACAGAGTTCAATTCGTGAGCAGATCACAAAATGATGATGTGTACATTCATCTGTACATTTATCTACAGAAGCTGTCATGATTTTAAATTGAAATCTCAGTGGAAGCCCAATCAAGCTGCTTTACACAAAATGAATTTTGACAGTAATCTCTAAATTTGATCAAAGATTATAGTACTCATTAAGGGCATTACAAAGTTCTCTCTTTCTCTGAAATACAAACAATGAACGATAAAATTTGAACTGATTTTTAGTAAAGAATCTAAAGTCAAGATAACCACCCAAAGGAATGGAAATAAAATGTCAAAAACAGTTCTAATACAACTAAGAATACACCTTCCAAAATTTGATATGGAACTTAATTTTCACGTATTTCTATAATTTCTTCCTTTCACATAACAGCTGATGTTTATCCTGAAGAATTCATTAATAGGGATCTGAGAGCTAAACCTGCTTTTGGAAGTGATGATACTTTAGCAACGAATGGATTACGTTCTTATATGCACTGGCAACCAGCTGGTAAGTACAATGTACTTAAATATAATCCAATGTAATCTTAAATGATAGATTTATTTATTTGTATTCAGAAGATGACTGCATGCGAAGTTTGCAATCCACACTTTAGACCATTAAGTCAGTATTTGACTTTAACTACAGTTAATCATGCGATTTTCTGTCCTAGGCTGTAAGTCACATTTGTTGATTGAGGGCTCACAGTACTAAGTGGTCGCTCACACTAAGGTGAATGCAGAGGAGTTTACACCTTTGGAATTGTGCTATATATATTACATAAATAATAAATACCTAAACAAATCAGTCACGTCTTCACTTACAAAATTAATCAGCACATGACGTACAGTGCATTCAACTTGATTACTACTCCTTACTAAAAACCACTTAGGTGACGAAAAATTATTTACAAGTTGATCATAATTAGTTAGGCATTAGAATAAAGCTTCAGACAAAATCAGAGGGAAGTATAGATTGTATAACGAAACATAAAAGATACAGGAAATTGTTCAGTATATTCAACATTTTTCGATGTAACATAGATTTGAATGACATTTACGAGCTAATTAAGACCAAGTACGTGGAGAAAAGAAATATCGACTTGACTAAAGTAATGACACAAACATGGACCAATTCTCTCTACTCAGGTGAATAAAGTCATCAAAATCCTGAAGTATAAATTTTCTTTTGACGAGTTGATCACGGATTGATATCAGTTAGAGAACCATTGAAAACCATGGAGTACTGGACAGCTGTTTCACCCTAGTCTGGGAATCATCGGCAGTACGCACCCACCACCAAGGTTCGATCCCAGAACCTTCTGGTTCCAAGGCAAGCTCGTATACCATTCAGCCACTGGGATTCGACTCAGTGGCCCTGGTTTTCAATGGTTCTCTTTTTTTTCCTTCACGTTCCCCAGTGGAACATAGGGCTCCAAGCGAGTGGCTTAAAGTTCCTGTAGCAGTGTTTATTTTACAGGATGAGGTTGCTAGCCCCATGCTCATGGTTCTCTAACTGATATCAATCTGTGATCAGCTCATCAAAGCAAATCTAATCCTTACAAACCAACTATTGAAAAAAGTATACATTTTCATTAATGTCTAGAAAATATAAATATGATCGGAGTTTCATAAAAAGCAACATCCCAGTGTGAATGTAGTACTACTGCAACTGGGAAACAGTAGTAATAATACGGCAATAAGATGAAATCCTTAAAAGTAGAAAGAATAGTGAGTAGTCTACTATGGAGAAAAAATATCAAAGATCAATTAGATACAAGCTACAGTCAAAAAAGAATATATAGATAGAACAAAGTTCTGAGAGGAATCTTAGGTTGGATTTCGCTAAAAGTGAATACTTAATCAGATATTCTGGCCACAAAAGACTCCGTAAAATGAAACACTGCAAAATTTCTAGTTTTTCAGAGTTATACTGAAACTAAGTTCATAAAAAATTCTCATTAGGTTATATAGGAAATTAAAAAAGTGATTCAACGAAGAGACTCTTCATCGAATTTATCAAGCTTTACAATCGCATGTATATATATATATATGTATATTCTTAATTTTTTAATAGTAATGTTAACTGCGACAAGATATTTGTGATTATAATCGTAATAAAACATCAGATAATAAACATATAATGTACTTTATGAAATGGTACATGAAATGTGAAGATCTTAGAAGGAGGTGGCAGTTAAAGCATCACGCAACAAGCTGAGAAATATGACAACACTACACAAAAATACAATAAATTAATTAAGTACAGGTGACAAGTGAGGCAATACCCGAAATTGTTCAAATTGAAAATAAAAGCAGTCGAAATAATGAGGGATGGATACAGGAGAGTGAATAGAGAAAACAGAAAATAAGTAGGTCCAAGGTAGGGACTGGGACTATAATAGTTTAAAATAAAGGGATTAGGACCATGAAAGAAGGAGCGGTTGAACATATTTTCCTGAGATAACCACATTTTCTCCTATGGCTTAACTTCTGTTTAGTTGTACTTAGAAAGTAAGATACGTAAAAGTAACCTAAATAACCTAGAAAGAGTTTTAACTCATGGTCGCTCATTAGAAAGAACACCATGGAGACAATAAATAAGTAACAATTTCAATGTACATATGATCTGTAAGCTAAATAGTTTTCTTGTATTTCAATACTATCAAATCTGGTTGTTTATAATTGTATTAATTCTACCACAATAACTCCAGTCTATACATTATTATTTACTTTGAGATGAAGATTATTCACTTCATAATGACGTTAATAGATTACCATTTATAGATCGCATATTTGTTAGAACTCTGATCCTTATTTGTTGTGACGATGTTTATGTGTTTGCATGTATTTAACCTTTAAAAAGTATGTAAATAACAATGATTGTCGAGCATTCAGACAATGAATCCAACGAAACAGCTGTCCAGTACTCCCAGGTTTTCCAGTGGTTCTCTAACTGACGTCAGCTCATGATGAAATCCTCCATGCAATGAAAACTATGAGTTCACTAAACACTACCTTTTTCATAGTTGTTGCTTTTTTTAAATATCACGGGGATTACGTGTTAGATGACTATGTATAATGATGAACAGATTATGGTTTTGAATTTCGTTTTATTCAGTGAGTATTTAATTCCTTAATACTTATTACAACCATACAATAATATAAGTAATGTGAAACCACAGATACTTCAAACGACAGTGTCCAGCATATATGACTGTCATCTATCGAATTTTTCATTACCTGAACAGTAAGTGAGTAATTGAGCAGCTAGTTAACACAACTTACTAGATGAAGATTTTTCATGGGAAGAGGATGAACTAAGTCCGAATAAAGGCGGTGTTTCTTTTTCTTTAAGTAAACACCCAGTATATTACTAAAATATTTAAAACGAAATATTGATGGATACTCTTGTTGAAAACGGATATCCTTTGAAATTTTTAAACAGGTATAGAAGTCAACTAGCCTCTAAACCTACAATCCATACCGTCCTTAAGAAAAAGGTTTTCATCAAATTACCATATAATGGGGAAATAAATAGTAGGATTTCGAGACAAAGGTTGAATTCCATCATCCGTAGAAGCTACTATGCAGCCCAGCTTGTAATTGTGGAAAAAGCTAAAAATATGCTTCACTGGAAACTTCAAAAGTGCACAAGTGATTATATCACATCCCACACAATTTACCAATTTTCGTGTTTGTGTGGACATACATACATAGGGAGGAGTAATCGCGCGTTGCACGTGAGGGTGGTAGAGCATATCCCAAAGTGGTTAGAAAAACAGATGAATTGTGACAAGCCAATAGATGCAGGTGTCAGACTACCAACTTCGTCTATAGCCAAACATTTAATCGAGATGAACCATAAGGTTGATGTTAACTCAACCTTTAAGGTCATCTATAAAAACGGTCAAGGACGTTTACTGAAATACGCTGAGGCTATAGCCATTCATAAACTTAAGCCACCCTTGTGTATTCAAAAACAGTTTGTTATTACTTGGTAATCCTTATTTGATTGGATTACCAAACGTTTGTGTTAATTATTCTTAATTCTGTTTTTGTCACTTTGTTTAATTTAACTTTTCCATATATATTGACTTGACAAGTAAATGTGTGATCAGATTATTCGAAATGTATAGCGCAAATACATCACATTCTTCAGATATTCTCCGTCTTCTAATAATACTATCAAAATTTACTAAAATATTGCCAAGTTAAAGCTCTTATTACTTACTGATTGTACTTAGATTACTTTTTACAACCTCTTGAGGAAGACAAGAAGTTGCAACGTGTCAAACATACTTTACAGCAAACTGGTCTGGACATATCCTTCCGTCCTGTTTCATTTATAAACTTCATCTGTTTGTGCCAAAATTGTGCTTCAGTGTTTTAATCATCCTGTATTCCTTACCAATGTGACAAAAATGGTGTAAATGATTTCAGATTAATTATGTCACTCAATAACAAATTTCAGCCTTTCAAATAAGTGTATGTTCACTTGAGCTGACATGAAGCTATTCATAATAACTTCATAAGAGAGCTGATTTTGTAACACTGAGAAAATTAGACAAAGTATTTTTCGTTTACAGAGGTTCGCAGTAATCTCTTTTGGAAGAAGTATTTTATATCATAAATTCTACCTACTTATTTTGACACATAGTAGTTGGAATCAATCTGTAGAAAACCTATGATATAAAAATATATGTAGTCAGGCTTATTATTGGCAGTAAAGAATATCTCCTGATTTCGTTACTTCCTGTTTCTTAGTGGTCGGTTCAGTGTGTGCAGTACTGGGTGTGTTGGTCATTGCTGCAGTTGGAACCATTTATCAGAAGTAAGTACTTCAGTTTGATGAATATCTAATCTTTTGCTTGCTTTGTTCATATTATTCTCGTTATTGTGGTTGCCGTCTGGGTGACTGGAGTGGAACATTAGAACTCCCTGAAGGTGGTGTTCAAGGAAACGTGTACGACTGTTCTAGGAAGGAGGAATGTCTCTCAACGGGCATTTACCTGGCAGCTAATAGAAGAGACGAGAGGAGGATAGTGAAAGAGAGGATGACCCAATGCAAATATGGACAATAGCAGAAGGAGAAGCTGAGTTCAATGTACACTCCACTGATTAAAGAAAGAAGTGAAGAAGAGTGCTAGTAAAGATGAAAGACAATTCTACGGCACACTGGCAAATGAAGAAGTACTCGCGGGGTGCAAGTAAAAGAGATATCAGGATATTATATCAGATAACCAGGTCTCTATCCTGGGAGAGATCAACTCAGATGATGAAACCAATAAAAGATGCTAAAGAGAATCTGATTATCAAGGAGGAGGAACAAATAAAACAGTGGGCTGATCACTTCAGAGGACCCTTGAATCGAACATGTTCACCTGCAGTTCGCCCAGAAATACCACCACCAACAACAACATCCACTACCTGTCAGTGGACACCAATCCCCTATCAAGCGCAGAAGTACTGAGTGGAATCAGCCTACTGGAGGCCAGCCATGAAGGCAGCAGAGCCAGATGGGATTCCCCTCGAAGCACGGAGAACGGACTCAGAGACTGCAGCAGATATTCTCACGCCATTATTGCAAAAGGTTTGGAAGGAAGAAAAGATGCCTACCGATTTGAAGAAAGACGGGTTACCTTGTCAAACTGCCAAAGAAGGGCGACTTACGCCTCACTCTGCAAGGACTGGCGTGGAATGATGCTCTTGTCCACACCAAGTAAAATACTAAGTCGCATCATGCTGGAGAGAATGGAAGATGCACTGGACGCAGGACTCTGTCCCACTGACCAGAACAAGCTGGATTCAGGAAAGGCAAATCATGTACTTATGAAATTGCCGCTCTGCGCATCATTATCGAACGGGGGCATAGAATGGCAGTCAAACCTCTACCTGAATTTCATCGACTTCGAAAAAGCTTTTGGTGGTGTTGACCGTGAAGTAATTTGGAAAATACTTCAACACTACAGCGTGCAGTCCCCAAGTCTTTATCAGTCTCATTCAACAACTGACTGTATAAGTATGCTACGTGTGAGGTGATCCACGACGGGGAACTCAGCGAAGCCTTTGAAGTGAATACAAAAGTAAGTCAGGGCTATCAACTATCACTAGTGGTAGTCATAAGTGTGGGGGATTGAAGTGTGCATCATACTGTGGGGAGCGAGAAGACAGGAATACCTCGGCCCGATGACAAGACTCTGGAAGATCTGGATTTCGGAGATGATTTATGTTTAATGTCACACAAACTCGGAGACTTGCAGGCGGAAACCAACAAAGTGGCTGAAGAAGCAGCAAAGATAGCAATGTAGGTGAACATAGAAAAGACAGAGGTAATGAAGATAACTAACGAACAGCAACAATGACCAGCACCAATCACTATCAACCGGAAAGATTTAACAAAGGTTACCCCCTTAACTTATCTGGCTAGGAAGCATCGTTCCAACTACAGGCAGTCGGAATGGATGAATATGTCAAAGGTGGCCAGCCAGATTCGGAAAGGCAAGATACACACGCCTCCATCAACTTGAAACCAGTTGGGAAATCTCCTGCACTCCGCCTCAGCATAAAGAACAATATTTGGATTTTCAACACAAATGTGAAGTGAGTCAGTCAGTCGCTTCTTCCATATGGATCAGAAGCTTGGCCAGTGTGTCACGAAAAGGATTTCCAGCAGGTTTCAGACTTTCATTAACAGCTGCCTTCGTTAGTCCCCTACTGAAGATCAAATGGCCAGCTAACCACCTAGAAAGAATTAGCAACAAGAAACTCTGGCTAGGAAGAAACCAACCAAGAGCCGATTGCTCAACAAATATGTAGGAGAAAATGGAGATGGAGTGGGCATACGTTGAGGAGGCCGTCGAATGACATCACGCTCAGTGCAGGTCAACGCTCGATTGTAATCCCAATGGAAAGCGATAAGTGGATCGTCAGTGCGAGGGTGGCATGGAGGAGATAGTTTGGGTCGGAGAAGATGAGAGATTATGGACAATCGTTGAGCCAGTTGAACAGGACGGCAGAAAATAGCACAAACAAGAGGGTGTGTCGCTGAACCCCTATGTTTCACTGGGAACTCAAGAGAACAATAATATTACTGTCATTATTATTATTATTCCTTACTTGCATTCTGAATCGCATATGCCATCTGTATTCACTCGTTTATTTTCCGCTGAATGCACTCTGTTTTTCTTCCAACTCCTGACACGTAATAACATTTCAGCTATTGGTTATTTTAGCTCTTTCGTATTCTTTTAGTCGTTTAGCGACATCACCAATCTAATCATATTATATGTCCGTATACCGATTCTGCTTATGTGAGAAATTAGGCTGTAAGCTGACCAGTCACCATTGTTAACCAGTGTAATCTTTCTAGTTCGTAGTGGTTTTTGATAAATTCTGTTTGGAAATGCATTCTGCTGCATTTCAGGTGTCAATAAGTATTTCTTGAACGACTTGCATCTACAACCTTTAGGAAAATATTAGTAGACAAATACTTTGCCAACAAGAAACTTAGTTCACAACTGGGTCTATGAGTTATATTTCACATGCAGTGGATACACTTTCATCCACATCTAGAAAGAGAAACAAATTAATAATAGACTGGAATGAATTGAGGCTTTTATAGCTATAATCCTACAACAATAATAATAATAATGATAATCACTCTATCCCAAATAATGATTTTACACAGAATGGATTGTTCAAAATTTTCATATTACGGCACAGTTATTACTTTTACTTTTACAAGTAAAATCAAGAGAAATAACCAGGAAATCTACAGTTTTGTTAACTAACTCAGGGGAAATAATTTCATTTCATTTCACTGCTCCTCGCCAGCCACTGTGGTGTGGGCAACATGAAAAGCTATCGGCTGAAATGTTTTTGAAAATGCACGGTTGAAAGTAACAACATCTTTGATTAAAATAAAAGTAGTAATTGTGAAAAAAAAGCATTTGATGAGAGAGGGCATTTCAGAAGACCAAATCTCAAGCAAGCCGTCTGATATGGTGGCAGCTAGCGAAGGACAGTCACAAGCGAACTTTCTGACAGCTTGAGACAATGAAATAACTATTTTGCATTGACAGTATGAGATACACACAATCATTATAAATAAGTGGTTGAATGAAAGTACTAATTAGTACTAAGTACTGAAATATTTTATTTATTATTATTAATAGATTACTTTAGGTAACGGTGGCAACTTATAGATGAACCTTTCAAGATGTATACCACTGTAAAGTTTAAACATTCACTTCACCAATACCATTCTGATTTACTTTCATTCATTCTAATTAGTAATAATAGTCATTTTTCATTATTATTATTTTTTTTTAATAATCTAGACGAAAACTTCAAATGAAATCTAGTTTAAGTCAAGACGAAGAGGATATTTTGGAGAATTCAAAATTATCGAATAAAATTCTATCACTTAATTCAGACGATGATCGTAAACTCGCTCAGTCAGCACAAATGTATCATTATCAACACCAGAAACAACAAATGTTAGCGCTTGAAAAGTTAGTCACTTAAGCATAAATATTTTCATGATTGTAGTAATTAATAATCATCAATACTGTTACATTTTATTAATAACTTCCTGTTGGTAGATAATTTATGGTAGAGAAAATGTGAAATACTGATAAGGTATTCAATAAGGTAGAACAGTGAAATTTTTGAAATGACATAGGTAGGATTTGTAACTCAAATGGTCACCTTTTGGGGCTGTTAAGTTCTATGAACTAGATAACTTAGAAATGAAGTTCTCATTGTCTTTATAAACAACCTCTTCAGACTTAGAAAGATAAAGATAGCTTTACAATCAATCCACCCAGTTGAGAAAAGGCATTAATGACAATGAATGAAGTCGAAGCACTTAGTTACACGTCAGACACAGTTGGAAAATCAATAGGAAAGAAAAAGATTACCATATACTGTCCAGTTAGAGGTAATGGAGAAAGCTTTGTGACTGATTTCTTAGACAAGCCGACACACAAAACGTTATGTTGTTGTATAATATCCTTCCATCAAAAGCTCCTTCCTCTATTGGTAGTAGTATAATAAAAGAAGAGTGCAGTAAAGTTTCGCAATTAATCTCTAACCACTTGTATTATTACCACCTAGAATCAGGTGGTTTCTAACTATCACAAAAGTAAGTGTTACTGATTTTTTAAATGTAATTTATCAAATTTTAGAGTTATAGAGATAACTCTATGTGAAGGATACAGTAATTATTCCCCTTTGAAAATCTAACTGAATTCAGAAATAGTACTGATTAGTGTGCGATCTTGTGAGTTTATTGTTTCATCTAGAAACTTTGATGATTTCAATACTTTTTACAAAGCAGTCAAAACTATAAAATTACTGTTTTTGTTCACCATCGACTAGTTCATCATAGAGGAATGAATGAAATAGTTAAATGAGTTGATCACGGACTGATATCAGTTAGAGAACCATTGAAAACCAGGGAGTACTGGACAGCTGCTGTTTCATCCTAGTTTGGAAATCATCGGCAGTACGCACCCACTGGGACTCGAACCCAGGACCTTCTGGTTACAAGGCAAGCTCGTATACCATTTAGCCACTGGGACCCGATTCAATGGCTCATGAATTCTAACTTCTACCAATCCTTACAAACCAAACTATAGAAAATTATTCTGATGCTCGCTAGTGACTTGCTACAGGTTGGAGCTTCCTGGAGTTCTAGTGAGAAGTCGTGACCAGTGATGTCCAATTAGATGTCACGTGTGTGGATGGATGTCCCACCAACGACAATGGTTGGGGTCGCGCTAAAATCACGAATTGGTAGGAGTTAGAATTCATGCACTGGCCATTGAATCGGGTCCCAGTGGCTGAATGGTATACGCGCTTGCCTTGTAATCGGAAGGTCCTGGGTTCGATTCCAGTAGGTGCGTACTGCCGATGATTCCCAAACTAGGATGAAACAGCAGCTGTCCAGTACTCCCTGGTTTTCAATGGTTCTCTAACTGATATCAGTCCGTGATCAACTTGTAAAAAGAAATAGTTAAATCTATTTCCGATGATAATTATAACACATACTTTTCAAACTTATTTAGAACAACGTTTACTAACTGGTTCGTTAGATGAGATTTTCCTAACAGATTTTCATCAACCAATTGATTTATTAGGAGGGAGGTGATCTTGGACAATATTTTCCTTTTGAATAAATACTACTTAAAATGATGCCCGTCTAGTTCTACATACATAAGATGAAACTTAAGGACTTCTCACTAGACAGAATGTTCTCATTTAGATAGTGCAAGATTATTCAGTAGTGTACACTGTGTTTTGCTGTCAAATAATTCTTGACAGCCAGGTAATACAATTTAATCTAAGGTCGATTATCTGATAGGCTTCAAAGCTAACTGTCAACTCAATGATAAAAAGACAATAAAAACCTTCATTGTTATGTTTTTTTTATCACCGAAGCACTACTATCGTTTTCTAGAGTAGTCTTCGTGCTTTTACAGCTAGTAGTATGTGTTTCTTCAATGCTAAATGCTCATCAATTTTAAAGACTCGTTATCACGATGTCTCTTGAAGCAATTTTGGACGTTAATCCTTATATCCAAAGCAGTTATTCAGGAGATCACTTGCTGCTGAAGTATCTGCATAGTGAAGTTTCTTACTACTACTGTTACATTGAACGACATGTATCCCATTCTTTAAGGAAGCATGAATTCTATTGAATGGTGTAGATGAGTCTTGCAAGCCGTAGCAAAACTGAAGTCCAGAGAGTTTTCCAATCGTCTTCAACAAATTAACATCATTTCAAATTATACTGCAAACACGATTCTCCTGATTCAGTAACTATATTTAAAAATAGGTAGAGAAAAATCCTTTAAAACTTAGAAAAAACTCCTTACATCTCCATCAGCACTCACTATTTCTTTGTCTCGTAATGTAATCATATGAATCAGAGGAAATGTTTGCAAAACTGACCTAAAATCCTTCGTTTTCATGAGAATTTCCAGTATCTTTTCAGGTGACATGAACAACTCACGTGAGTACTACCATGTTCACATGCTGGGTTTCCGAAATTGGTTAATTTACCTATTCCAGTATTGTTTACCATTATTATATTTGGTTCATGAGTTTTTTACTAAAGTACACATTTAATACATGCATAATCATGAAGATTCCACGGTACATCATAAGATGAAAGGTTCAAGTTTTAAAATCAGCTGAAGTGAGATGAATATGTTTAAAGTAGAACTTTGTAGAAAGGTACCGTGGTTCAAGTTATCACACTTTATAAAGAAACAGAAAAATGATAGAAAGAAAAATCAGCAATGAAAGTCAAGATAGATCATAATTACGCCTAAAATCTGTTCAACGTGAAGTATCATTTATAACGTGGTGAACACCTTTCTAGATTTGTACACGATATGTGATAAGTTCAACCTGACAGTAATGAAGACTATAAAATGTTATGAAAACCGTAACCATAACATAGAAATACTGCTGATACAGGGTCCCGGCTTATACCGAGAACATTTAGTTCAGCAAATAAAATACACAGTCGGTGCTAGCTTATGTTATTTCTCCTTGTCAGTTTAGGATGACAAATAACATTATCAGTTAATAAGCTTTAATCATAACTAAGCGCCCAACTGGAAAAATAACAGTTGTTTCAGATAATGAACACTGAACCTTTCTCAATTCGGACACAGAAGAGGCTGAGTAAGGAAGCCCAGATGCGAATATATATATTCTGTTTAATGATGATTACACAAGTGATCATCGCCTAATCGTTATTCATCATACATCACGCATAAATAACAGTTTGTTTAACTGAATTGGAAAAGTGATAGCTCTTGTTTTTATTGACTGTTGAGTTAAAAAAACCGCCTTTTATGTGCTCATTTCACGGTTACTACACTAAAATACATTTGGACAATTACAACTGTTGAATTATTAACTTCATAGACGTGAACTAGTTAAAATTCGCATGGTTAAATGTGAATAAATAATTGATTAAATCAGTACGATAATGGTAATGGTAGTTCAATTAAAAACAAAGCTGGTTGTAATCTGATATTCTAGTCAAATGTACGTGACTATGGGCAGAATAAGATTTAAAAAGAAGAGAGTTCAAATAGCTACAATGATTTTTGACACATATTAAGGTGAAATCAGTCTGTAATAAATCTGACTTAAGAGGATTTGATTACTAAAATGTAGTTGCATATGCATTCATTAGAATAAACGATAACTGTAGGTTTCTTTTCGGCGAATTCATTTTCATAGCTGTACAATCGCAATTATATATGGTTGTTTTGTATTGTGTGTACATTAAATTTATCAAACGAAAATACAATTAGTAAATTCAGATGAATTCGATGTTGATATAAGAGAGTAGTAACAAAAGTGATGAGTTGTCAGAACTGTGCATACAAAAGAAAATTATTCAGCCACTTCTACTCCCATGGTAACAACTGTGTTGATTTGACTTAACTTTTCTTTGTTTGTGTGTTTATTTTTCTACTTAAAACCCTTGTGTAATTCCGTATATTTTGTTTCCATGTACACCCTGAGTACCACTTTTTCATTAAACTATTCATGTTATTACGTAACTCTTCTTTAAAAATCGTTTGTGACAACTCATCACTTTTGTTACTACTCTCTTATGTCAACATTCAATTCATCTGAACTTACTAATTGTATTTTCGTTTGACAAATTTAATGTACACACACATACAAAACAACCATATATATATTTGCAATTGTGCAGCTATGAAAATGAATTCGCCGAAAAGAGACTCTTCGCTGAACTACTTGTCTTCTGTCTATTAATGTTCGAATGGGAATTTTTTATGAACTGTAGGTTTGTTGTGTATGAATGTAAAAAAGATCTTATTTTTCCATCTTATTGCATTTAAGCTGATTGATCCTCATGTTCATATTTCTTTTTTCCGGTATTTAATTAATCTTTCTAATAAAAATTATCCCTGCCATCTATTTACTCATGTCTGCTGAAATTTACGCTGACTTTCCTTTATTCATTCATATTTCCCATCAATTTGTGATTTCTAATGATCTAAACCAATATTATCGCAATTCCATATTTCCACTTACTCCTAAATTTAAACACACCTACTCAAAAAACAAACTTTCTATTTTCAGTGTAGACTTCGACAACAATCAGTCACAGAATCACTGGAAACCGATGAGTATCGGTTAGGGGTTTGGAGGTTAACGTTATATCACAAACCAAAGGATGATGTTAGAATCCATGGACCATTGAATTCCAACCCGCTGGCTGAATGCCCAATGGGCAACACACTTTTGTGTTCGCCAACTTAGTGGCTTTGATTCACAGTAGACCAAACTACTTTTGTATGCATATACTGACGATAAAAAGTAAACTGATTACTATCTGGTGACTGGTTCTCACATATCTTGCGGAAAATTTCAGCTAAACCATACGAAGTCAAAGTTATCTGACTGAATAATGAATGCGTAATTAATAGCAATGCCCTTCTGTATTTTTTTTTTGAAACTTAGGGTTAATGATCATACTCGAACAAGTGATGACGATGACAGTGAAGATGATATCGATGAAGGCGATTTCACCGTTTATGAATGTCCAGGATTGGCTAATGTAAGTTATGCGTAAATTTATTTATTTTCAAATTTCTGAACTTATCTGTTATCTTGATTTAAGAATGTATACTTAAGCATGTTCTTGAATTTCCCCTTCTCAATGCATTTAAGTCCTGTAGCTGTGACATACTCCAAACACTGGGTTGTTTCCTCAAACCATCCGCATTATTCTCACTGACATTTACCACCTCTGTAAGTTATATCTTATAGGTTAATATTTACTTTTCAAGGAGGAATTTCCTATTCTCTGTAACTTAACTTACCCTACGATAGATTAGTGATACTTCAAGCAACTTATTCATTGTTAACAAGTAAGCTATCAAATTCCCCTGAAGGAAATCCATTTCAGTTTAGTGAAACATATTAGTTACTTACTACTTAGTGTTCATTCAAAATAACTAATACAGGAGATATATCACTACCCGAATAGCTCAGTGGTAACATCTCTGACTGTAACTGTGGATTACACGGATTCGATTCTCAGAGAGGACGTGAGTTCCTTCAAGGTTGCAGATACGCCCTGCTGACGAGTGCCAGTTGTCATGAAACCTAGCTTTAAGGCTTCACGCTAACTGCCTTCAGCCATCTAATAATACTGCAATCTAAAACAACTGCTCACACTTCCATGTCTCCACACTTTGCATTACTTCCGGCTGTCGAAAGTAGTAAAATGAAAGAGATTAATCTAAATTTCCTCTTGACTGCATTTATAGCGCCTAAATTTACCGTTTCTTTTGACATGTTAAATTCTGTTATGGATACCCGGACAATTCTATGGGGAAATCAAGGTGTTATTTTGGTTGATGTTGGCCAAAAACGGTATCTAAAACGTACATTTCGCATCATTTGAGGCTAGTCGGCTGGATATGTCTGTATACTAGTGAGTTGTGGTTTTCTCGATGAAACTGTAACCCTGTTGTATGAGGTTAGGGGAAGTCAAAAGATAAAAATGAAAATTAGACTACAGATTAATGAGATTGTGTAATTCTTGTCATCTGTGCCATTAATAGCCTCTTAACATATATTATCATTTTCTCCTGGAATCCAATGAACAAAGCAACCTTTTCTGGTTAGAAAGGCATTTGCTAGACTGATCACACTTGCTTTTGTCCGATTCTAATATTTAATTGCGTTCAGTGTTTAAGCAGTCGGCATGATGACATACATTTTCATATCATCTAGGTGCATCAATGTGTTTAAACGTTTGCAATACAATTATAGTTTATATTATCCATTCCACAATGCTCAAACGTTTTACTGGCATTAATTATGTAATCAATTTCGTCCAGTTTTTGTTTCACTCTGTAATCACATTCTCTGCAATAAGAACAGAGATGAAAAGCTTCGAATTTATTCATTCATACTGGTGAACTCACCTTGAGACTATCTAGACCAAAATGGTCAACCTCATTTTAGCAGATGAACTTCTATAATAGATGCCTCAACGTTACTGTGATTACTAACTTGATGCTACTTGTTTGATAGGACCCAGAACGAGCGCTTCATCCCATACGAGAGTCGCTGAGTATATGTACCTCCTCCTTGCTGACTGACAGTGTCCCAAATTAGACTTGAGTTTAGCTCCAATTGCTTCAAGAGCCAAGGCGTTAACTCTTAGGCTAATACACACCGAGAGCCATCACTTGTGAAACAACCAAGATTTGAAATTATTTACTTATGCTTATGATTTCCTGCTGATAAATCTGACAGGGTTCGAGTCCCGGAGAAAGCGCTATCGCTCGAAAGAAGGCAGGCACTTCTAAATGAGGGTCTTAAATTTGCCAAACCGGCTTTCAGGCAGCAAGGTCTAGCTGTTACCAAACATATAACTTCGATTAGCTTTTACTTGAGTTAATCTTGATACATTTATTTCTTTTTTCATAGACTGGTGAAATAGAAGTCGAGAACCCACTGTTTGACAATGATGCCGGGGAAAAAGTACTGAATACAAGCGGGAGTTCCGGTGAGCTGATCGGCTGTAGTGATTTAGAAGAGCATTTCAATGAAGGTGAAACAACATCACCATCAACACAAGGTGGCGCGGTATCTACAAATAATAATAAATAGACCACGTTAAATCAGATGAAAAGATGAATATACAAGTGTTTAAAAATTATTTCTCATATTGTATGTTGTCTGTCTGTGTTTGTAGTGTGTGTGTGTGTGTGTGTGTGTATACGCATGTACGCGATCAGTCCGTTGTTAACAGTCATTCATTTCATTTACAAAATGAACAACAACAGTAACACCATCACATATAGGATTATGAAAAGTTTCATCAAAAATTACACAGAACATGCCAAATGATTTAGAATGCTAAAGAAAATATTTTCTTCCCTTCGACCTTAGAGAAATCAGAGTATTATCGAAAAGACATTCTTCACACTGATTCAAGATTTCCTCGTTTCTATTTAGACTACTTATAAGTAACTCATCTTTTTTTCAGAAAACATTCGTCACCCTAGACTACAACAAGTTTTTTTTCAAGAATCCTGATTTACTAACATATTTAATGTTTCTTTTTGTGAACAGGAAGCATAACACACTAGTGAGCTAATTAATAAATAACTTTCTAAGGCCATTTATTTTTCTAACAATTAAGCTAAACTGTGGACATCATTTAGAGACGATGTGTTGTTTTTTGTCTTTACTTTTGTTTCTCATCACTTTTATGCGGGTATGTACTTTCATGTTGTTTTTATTTGAATCTTAGTTACAATTTGAGTTTTCTTTATTGACTGATGTGACTGTTGATAAAAATCATTTATATTTGTGTTAGTGTGCTTGTTTTTGTGAATTTTCATTTGTGCGTATTTTCCATCATTTTTTACTCATCAGTTACCTGCTATTGATAACATTTTATCTTTTGGTTAATTCACCTCATATTTCTTAAGACTCTCGGTGTTTCTTGACCTGCATGTTCTTCATAATCATTGTCTGATTAAAAATTTCTGAAAGACAGCATTACTACATGGGATTTATCAGCTTTTATTTTAAGAACATAGTCAAACAGACATAAATAAGTTGAACGTTTGAGTAAATAACAAGTCTTTAGGGCTTCCTGAGTATTATATAATGACCTCTAATATCACAAATGACTGTCGACGCCACATTGGTCTTCATGTACCCGGATGATATTTAAAGCTAAACGACAAACACAAGCAATGCACATGAACGTAAGACTCTAAATCCACAAGTTAAGTTTGTAGTCTTTCGCCTTAAGATTGAGTTGCGTGTTGAAAACTGACTCTTGCCATCAATGTCTTTTGAGTTATGCTGTTTACACTACAAAATTGAAACTACTATCAGGTCTCAGTATAAATTTACTTTCCACCCGCTTTGTCTGACTATTGCAAGAAACAAACACAGTTGTTGGTACATTGCTTTCTCATGTTATCCATACAATAACTGCTTTTCTCTAACTGTTTACTGTAAAACCACAAGTTCGTAGGAGTTTTTCTCCTTAGCTTCAAAGTTTCTATCACCAAATAAAATAAGTATTCAAGGGGCTAAGCATCTTTTATCTCATATATAATTAGTTCCAATGAGAAGTAAATCTTCACTTGATAATAACCAATTTAATTTCGACCTAACAATGAATCATTTCATAAACAACACACTTAAGTGGTAATAAGTTCCTGTAGGCTATAAGGAATCCTTCGTGACCACTAAATACAGAGACAGAACAAAATAAATTCCTATTTTCAGCTACGCTTTAATGACTTGTGGTAATAATGTAGGTCTAAATGACAAGTATTGAGAAGTTTAATCTGTGTATGCTAGCACGACTTCCACTTGAATAATACTTCTGTTTGTAAGTGTCATAATGTAAACTTCTGTACTTGCAATGCTTTCAAAGTATCTGATCACTGACTATCGAAGGATAATTTTACTTGGCGAAAGTACACAGCGGTACTGCATTATTCACTTCTGACATTCCAAGAATAATACAATACTCACAATCATATCACGACATTGATAGAAACTCTATTATTTCCTATCCTTTGATTTTATTGGTAGTAACATTTTCCGCTTCTTTGGTATCGGCCTTGCATCATTAAAGTTGCACGTGTTAGGTGTAGACGCGACGAAGGAAGATTTAGCGGTTGACTTCTCCTCCTACCCATATACATTATTTTCAATAGCTGTAGCTATTTCTCACACTACTGCATAGTTATTTTAGAGCATACATTGGAATTTCATGGATTTTCTTGTTGCCATTCAACTTTCTGCGACCCAACATTCTACACTAGGCTAAATGCATAAGTTGATCTCAAAGTCAATGGAAGGTTATTATACGTTACATTATTCTATCTACTTGGGTCATTAAGGTTCTTCAGCCTCCCAAGCCTTCGTTGATTTGACACTGATTACAACTTTCCATCTCGAGGTTAAATGACAGTGGTGATTCAAAGCCAGTGTAATTTTACTGTCTACTGGGATCCAAGTCACTAGATATATCATCATATTGTACCATCTAAAGCTGATGATATTCACCACAACGCGTCGTGATGTCACGGACACTCACTGTCGAAAAATATCTGTCTGCAGCATGTCAATCCTCTCAGCTGATGCACACCTTGAAACTGCCTGAGAGTTTCATACTGGGACAACTAATCAACCCACTTCACACACCTGCACCAATGTGCTAAGTCGCAAGATTATTCTACGAAGAATAACTGAATATGCGAAATCATGTTCACCTTGTTCACCTATCTATCCATGCTACACCTGTTGAGTATTCATTCATCTACTATTCAACCTTTAAAATATTAATACTTAATATTCAACAAACTTCTCAGTTAGGTTTCTCTTTTAGTTGTTCACTCTAAAGTCATCTTCTTCTTATTTATGTATCAGTTCAATTTGTTTGTATGTCTTCTCTTATACCAGTCAGTGGTGTTCAAGTAGTCTCATTGTGTTCATGCTTGAATGAAAAATGACAATTTACTTGCAGTAGATCCGAATACAATTACACAGTATGAGTAGAACTTCTTTAACCTATAAAATATAGAATAAGTCACATTTAAAATGACACTAATGTGAATGAACATTTCATTTAAAGAAACAATTAGTTTCAGTCATTCGATGTTGGGTGATATTCATCTACCTGATTCTCATGAAATTAAGACAGAAACGACACACACTTTACTGGGTTAATTCACTAAATACACAAATACAGAGTTAAAATGAAACGATGAGTTGACGGCGAAGAAATAATAGTCAATTTTGGTGAGAACATTTGAGATATACATTAGATTGATTGACTATTATTGACTTGCTAGTTGACGGTTTATTCCATTTCACAGTCTTCACAGACACATTTGCATTAAGCTCACTTCCTGTGCGCACGACTAATGGATGAAATCCTGAGCATTCTACCTCACACTATACTTACAACTTGATTTACATTCTCAAGGACACAGATATCGGTAAAACCTATGTCGCCAGAAAGATCATGATCCTAGAGCGAATGCAATCAATCTGAATAGAAATTCAACAAACCTATCATAAAAAAGTATTAATGTCTGCTCAGAAAATCAATATTGGTGACTACTTCCTAATTAATTCACATATTTTTAGTTTAGTGCTATGAAGGGCGACAAAATCGCCTTGAATGGCTCACATTCATTTCAAACTATGTGTACGGAAAACAATAGATTTCAACATTTGCCTATCATGGACTACTTCGCCTACTGATACAGGAGTGTTTATTAATGTGCGCTGTTATTCCATGTAACTGATCAGTTCTCAGACAATTTATTGTCGACGAAACACTGGAATTATTTATTTCAATTTTGCTGACATTTATACAAATATAATCTCTGCAAACGTCTTATTTTCACTCAGCGCCCAATTTTAGTGCAATTATTGGGTCGAATCTTGATCACAGTTCATATAATGTCAACCACGTTGGTTGGAGGGCGATTGCAGAGAAACCACCAGATGATATCCTCTCGCAACAGTTCGCAATGCCTCTTTTAATTCCATCAATATCAGTAAACCATCATGTTTGATTAACAAACTTCTTTAATAAAATATTGACCAAATAGTAGATTGAGAATAAAGTGTGAGATGATGTATGGTTGAGTGAAAGTACTATCGATTCTTATCTGGACGGTTATGCAGTAGACATTTTCCGGTCACAAAATGATATTACATCAGCTCAATTGTAGCACCTGATCCCTAATGTCAATACATTTAGTAAAACTTTCTGCTGGCACACTGGAGAAAGTATTAGTAATTTTAAATATCTCCACAGTTTATTGAGAAGAAGAATTTTCAGAATAAACTGCTGATTTTAATAACGTCTTCTCCAGACTCTGCAGTCATAAATCCACTTTTGTTTCTATGGAGTTGGCAGCATAATGAAATTGAAATTATTCCAGGAAGTGTATTGTGATATTAGGTAGAATAATAGTCAGCTACTTCCGGTCATTGTTTAAACGCACACGAAATGATTGCTCAATGAGAACATGAGATGGGATGAACTAACTCAGTTGAATGTCTTGTTTGTAAAACAACCGATTCATCAGTTCCCTGGTTTCATCAACAAGCCTTCCTTCATTCCAGACGTTTGCGATTTCGTGAGTTTTCTTATTAAGTCTATTGCCCCACGTTTATATAATACTTATCACTTTTTTTGTCGTATTTACACTGCCCTTCACTTGCCATCATATCAACTTCACTACTTGGTAATCTTTCTCTAATTTCATCACTGTGTTTGCACCACAACATTATTACTTTCTCAATATTATCTTCATTTTTCTCTTCAGTTCACATACCCAGTATTCCATTCGTTTATTTATTTACTAATTTGTAGTACACAGACTACAACTCATCCCTTAAAATGGTTGCAGCTATTAAGTCAATGCAACAGAATCACTATGAATGTGGTTCTACACAGCTGTGTCTAGATTGCTTTCATACTTCTGTGAATATCGTATTTGTTCGTGGGATTATACGAGACACCATTGGATGGACAACCTGATAATAATCCAGTTGGTGATGGCTAATGATGATGGGAGAAATGAAAATGGTGGTCTCAACGGCGCACCTAATGAACTACAGTAACAGTGTACGTCGAAAAACTTTCTCTACCATAAAAGTAGGGCAGTAAAATTATACTTGCACCGAAACTGCGTGTAAATCGATTTGACAGTAATAATCATGACAAAAATAAAGACAATTAAACCATAGTATAGAATAAAGCTGTAGATTCGGTTTAACCCATTGAATGAGTACAACCACTGCGTTACATTCAAATGTTCAGTGGTCGTTTCTAATCCATTCATTCTCTGGACTACTTCCATTTTCACCAGAAGAATGACCCTGAATTCATCCACACAAATATTGAGTAGTTGTATGCGCCAATCAGGAAACAGATATTTGTTGCACGACCTTAAGATAATTCAGGTCCCGTAAGCCTAAAACGCTTTGTCTCAATTCCATTGGTCAACAGTTCACAAAGGAAAAGACCATCAGTGATTGGTCAACGAGTTAAAAAATTATCGTGAGTGTAGTAATCTATGCATGACTATTTAAAGCGTGTTCTTTAAACTAAATTTAATTTGGATAACTTCCGACTGTGGACAACATGGCTAAAGAGCATGTTAAAGTAAGCTACTTGATTGATTGTCTTAAAATCATATACTTGGTTGGTTTCACTCAGTAGCTTTTATATTTCACTTGGACAGATAAAACCGCCTAGCGTTTATATTCATGAGTGGTATTTGCTCCACTCAAGTTAGACATATTCCATCATTGCAAAATTTCTGTACCACTTTGAACATGAACAGCGTCTGTTCAAATTGGTGATTACCTGTGTAAGTGTAAATAATTCTGTGCAGACATTTCTCGAAACACGCTTCTAGTTTTATGACCAACTGTTTATTCGTCACCCCGTGTTTGTGCTATTTAGTGAAGCTACCTACAGTTAACAACTAAAATAATCACTATCATAAAATTACTTGAAATAATCACAACGTATTAAGAAAAAGAAAACAAGACTTAAACAATCTGAAGATACTGGGATTATTATACAGGTTTTTGTATTTCCCAATGAATGAAAAACAAAACGATATTGTTTTTTTTGCTGACGTTTCGCTATCTAATTTTTTTCACGTTCCCAGTGGAACATAGGGCTTCAAGCTAGTAGCTTGAAGTTCCTGTAGTTTCTTTCGTTTCGCTATCTAATGCTAATAGCTTTATCAAAGTATCATTATTATTATACTGGGATTATGTTGAATTATTTTTAGTGATTCAGTCTGAGTCGACGCTGGATATTTACAATAATGATAATAATAATAGTGGTGGCTTTATTCCTCAGATCTCCCAGCATATAATACAATGTTGTGTCTGATTTCCTCTTCACGTTACGCAGCGTGGGGAGAAATAATTATGGAATAATTTTGACATTCACAGTAACAACAATAGAAATAGGATATGAGTGTAAGAATAGATTATAAGTCCACAGGAATAGTGACCTCAATATATAAATCATATGAGATCATTTTTCTCAGTACTGTAACAAGTTTATGATTGGATTGTATAATGTCTACTAACTTGTTGAATTCTAGACATACACTGATATCTATGTATCGAATGCACAAAATGGGCATAAAGCCGAGTGACGCCTAACTGTTTTGTGTTAGATGTAAGGCTCATTCAATTGACAGTCAGTTGTTCTTCAACCAAATCTCATACCGTTTGCAGCATCAACAAACATGCACTCCTATGCACACTGGTATGTTTGCTTTGTGAGTCATCACATGAAGCTTGGTTCACAGTGTAGTGCATGAATACTGTTCTAGTGTCCAATCATTATGATTAAGATGAGTCAGAATCACCTTCACCATGTTCAAGATCAATAAACAGCCTTAGAAAAATATTGACAAGAATTAGTATTGTGTTTCCATCAAAATAAGTTCTATGAGATATTCATGAATGAAAACTAAAATTATTTTTGCTACTTCCAGCTGTTTTATTTTAATGCACGTGCACGTGGAGAAGCCATTCGAATGGTTTTTGTAGTGGCTGGAATCGAGTTTGAAGACGAAAGGATATCATTTGAAAACTGGCCTAAGATGAAGCCGTCAATACCTGGAGGCCGTCTGCCTGTAGTGAAGATCACTGAGAAAGATGGGAAAGAGAAATGGTTGTCAGAGAGTTTGGCCATTGCACGTTTCTTTGCGAAGAAGAATGGTATGATGGGTAGCACGGATGACGAGTACTATAGTGTTGAGAAGCTAATCGGTCAGGTGAGTCTAGAATTTCTTTCTGCCTTTAGAAATATGATCTCAACCTCCTCTCTCTGTCAAGCTTAAGACCAGCTAAGGAAATAGTAGACCGTCGTCAGTTTCCTTAAGTAAACCCATTACTGACTACATTGACAACAGAATGAAGATGTTTGTTGTCAACAAAATATTAGTTTGTTTTATGTTAATTCAGTTATTAAAATAAAACGTGGTGTTATTTTCAAGTGAACTTTAGTAGTGTGGAACATTAGTTCGATTAGTGAATTATGAAGTACCAGGGTAAATCGACTTCGCCTCTTAACGAACTGACAAGCAAAGTTGCATTACCAAATTTCAAACCTGATTTAGCTAGTAGCTTGGTTTCATGATATGGATAAGGTTTCCCAGTGGAATTCATTTTTGTATTTATATTTCATGTATTGTCGGAAATCATCGATCGATTCATTGCAGCAGGCTGAACTCATCTAAATGAACAGTTCACCATGCAAAGTAATTCGATATCATTTGAATTCCAGACTACTCATTCACGTCATTATTTGATTAAAACCTTCGTACGACACAGATGTAGGGTTTAGAGGCAGCATATTCAATGAGTTTCGGAAAAGTTATCTTCCAGCTTACGAAACTCTGTTATCCTGGTGTTTTTGACGCTTATGATTGTGAATTGAAGAGAGTGGAATAGATATAAGAATAAAACTTGGGCACTGTGGTAGAGTGTAATTCCATTATGGGTAAATTTTTATTTTGATAGAGTCTCACAGTGTTATACAGTAATATTTACTGATGACGTTTCGAGCACAAACTATTGCTCATAATCATATCAAGTTACTCACACAACTTCTTTCCTTCATTTATATACATGTGTGGAATCGACTAGATATTGGAATAAAATTCAATATGAGATAATGTACATTCAGAAATAATAGTACGAGTGTTATTAATCCATTGCAATTAGATGGGAAATACGACGAGTGTTTTTATAGTCATAATAAGTTGATTGTTAGAATGTTATGATGTGCTTGAATGGATTAATAACACTCGTACTATTATTTCTGAATGTACATTATCTCATATTGAATTTTATTCCAATATCTAGTCGATTCCACACATGTATATAAATGAAGGAAAGAAGTTGTGTGAGTAACTTGATATGATTATGAGCAATAAATTGTGCTCGAAACGTCATCAGTAAATATTACTGTATAACACTGTGAGACTCTATCAAAATAAAAATTTACCCATAATGGAAGAGAGTGGAATACTTTACGTGATTCCCAACCACTGATGCAGATGAGCTTCAGAAGCTGAAAGGAACGAACAGTGAATTGATAATCAGTAGCCATGGCACTGCAGCTCAGAGCGATACTCAACTATCTATCCGATTGTTTAAATACCTCATCATAAGCTCCTGTCTAACGAAATTCTTTCCATCATATGCAGGTGCAAGATGTTGAAAGTGAATATTACAAGACCTTGATGAAACCAGAAGATGAGAAAATAAAAATCATCAAGGAGATATTTAGTGGAAAAGTTCCCACTCTTCTAAATGTGAGTTGACTTGAGATTTGTAAAGTTTTCTTTGGTATTGAGTCAAAATGACTGAATGAAAACACTGGTGTACAAACAGGTTTCATGTAGGAAGTTAGTTGTCAAATATCTTTTGATTTATGCCTCCAGTATTATGAATTTGTTCTCTCAAACAATGACTAACGACGTTTTCGAAGTATGTTTCGAGAATCTCATGAGCTACTTTCGTTCACTACTTTTCTAGATGAAGAGCAGCGCTACCACTTCTCAACGGAGAAATTTAGTTTCAGAGAAATCGTGTATTCAGTAGAATACACATGACTGATGGACACCAAAAGAAGTTAGCTTGAGTTTATACTTGCAATTCATCAAGTCATCCTTCTTGGTTAAATCCTTGTCGGCTAGATTGTTTGGGATGATTTAAACATAAGCTAAGAAGTACTAGTTGTTTGTATTTCCCAATGAATGAAAAACACAACGACATTGGGAGATACAAAACACCTTTATTATAATGAATATCATATACCCAATGTCCAAATTCTTTCAAACTATTAAAAGTGAACTTGGTTTGGACATGTGTAACTTAGAAGTACTAGATTTCCCAATGTGTATTAAGGTGTAGTTGACTGTCCTCACATCATTTAGGAATCAGAATAAAAATTGAGCACACAACTAAATGTGCGTGTAGTATGTATAGCTGTTGATGCCACTTAGCTCAATATATCCTAATAGTGTATGCATATGCATAAGTTGTCGAATTAAAGTTTACATCCTACTTCTTCATACATGGTGGTTAGTCAATTTGTGCTTCAACTAGTACTGCACTAACTATCTTCCCCTGTTCACAAGTAATAGTGTAATAATGTCGTTCATTTAGTACAGCTTCTTATTTATTACAGTATTCAGAATATTAAGATTCGGATGTCAAAGAACATACTGTTGAAATACATGCTAATTTAGTCAACAGTCCTATAGGGGAATGCGTTTCTCGTATGAACGGCTGCTTCCTTGTTGAATAGATTCAAATTTTGGTAAACCGTTTGTCTTAACCTGAAAGAATTCACCAGTTTGTTTTCTGCTCGCGTCCGAAGTGATTGACAACAGTGGCGATTTTTGAAACCTTATTACCTAAGGGTTGTTTTTCTATTTCATTTCACATTCATTCTAGGCAATCTGTGAATCCCTGAAGGAATCGAAAGGCAAATTAGCTGTGGGTGACCATGTGACTTTGGCTGATTTGGTATTGATTGCAGCCATCGATCACGTGACTGACTTGGACAAAGGATTCATGGACGGTAAATATCCTGAGATCCATAAACATCGAGAGAATCTCCTGAAAATTTCACCGAAATTGGCTAAGTATTTATCAGAAAGGCCTGCAACTGCATTCTAAGCGTCGGAATGATAAATTGAAGGTAACGAGGAAGGCAGATAAAATATGCAGCCTAGTAGTTTTACTTTTGTTTCAAGATATACTGGTCTTTGATTTTACTTAATTTTTATTTTCATTAATAATAATGTTTCTATTAAATAAACACTTCTTATTCCTGAATACTGTCTCAATGCTTTACAATGAAAAGACATTTTCAGTTAGGAGACGAAAGTGTCCGTGTTTCATAGGTTGGTGAAGACTGAAGTTAAGCGACGTGTTCAAATACATTAGAATAAATGTGTTCAAATACTAGATCTCCCATAATCCTGTGTCTTTCGAGCAGCCTGAAAACATGCCATTTACTTTCACTTTTGGTGAAGGAAGTTGGTCGGATGGATATTTTTGGGGATTTCGCGTTTTTTGAGTGGGACAACCCACTAAGGTTTCAGATAACGTATTTTGAGCTGGAAATTCACCATTATTTCCTTCGAAGCCCGATGACTCACAAATATGACTGATTGTATAACTGTCAATTAAGAATAAAAACGATATAACAAAATGGAGCATACAGCCGAATGGTGTGTGCAGTTAGAAACCACTCAGATTGATGTGATATAAACATCGGCTAGAGAGCACCACTGTTTGACGTGAATGCTTCCCAACTACTTATATGAATTAGTGGTACATTCTATCCTGTCATAGGCAGCGAAATCTACGTTCTGCAATTTGCATTGACTGAGAGATAGAATGAGAATCCCTGGATGGTAGTCAAATACTAACTATTATGAGTTCATGACGAAGACTACCTCGAAATAGTCAATTACCAGTTCAGTACATCGGTTACCGAGTGTTCTGGTCAGTAAGGGATAATTGGTGAGTAGATTAACATGAGGTCATGAAAGAGTGCTTCGGAATGATACCAGTGACTGACTTCCTTGAATGGAAGAGTATTACTCGTTGACATATCGAGGGAATCCATGAACAATGATGAGGGTTTCTAGTGCTGCAGAAAGAAGAGTGCATCACTAAGGTTTGTATCAGAAAAGAAGCGAATTACAATGAGAGATTGGTGAAGATAATAGCAGTTATAGGAATAGGAACTGAGCAGAGGATAGTCAATCTTGACTGTAACAAAATGATAAATTGGATGTAGTGATGTCATACAGAGAGAGAGGGCTTTAGTTGAGTAACAAAACTGTAACATTAAATAGTTCAGTTACATCTTCCCTGCTCATACTGCATCCCATATACACTGTGCGCACTCCACATGTTTGGCAAACTACTTTACTTTCTGTAATTGATCCCTTTTGATAATTACAAGCTAAATCTGGATTGATTTCACCACTTCATTTCGTGTCGTATCCATTTTATTCGTAAGTAATAGGCTTGTTAATTTGTCCACAGTTCACAGGCTTAAGTCATCGTCGTTAAAAGTGCATAACACGACTCACAGTTGAGCGGTAGAATCATCGACTACAAGTGTTTTCTGTGGATCTGTGATTAAGGAAGCAGAATTTGGTTAATCAAACTCCAATTTGTTGTTTTCTGTGTAGTAGAAAGTAGTAGACAAGTGAAAGTTTGAGTTGATGAACATGAACTCTGTACAGGGTGTCGACTCATGATTGGAGTAGATACAGAGGGTTTTGAAAAGGAGGGAATTCATCAAGTTATCACTGGTGTGAAAGACTCTAACTAGACACAACCGATAGAGAGGATAAATTATTTCCATAATATTATTATTATTTCATCTGATGAAACACAGCATGGTACAGCATCGTTTATTTTCTGATGATGTTCGGAGCACAGTTCATTGCTCATAGTCATATCGATGTGCTTGTATAACTTCCGCATTTGTTTATATAGTTCCATGATTTCTTATGCTGTGGTTTTATCGGCAGTAGTATTCTACACAATTCTGGTGTTAGTGTTGACTTCTAAGAAGATAGATGGATATTTGAAGAGAAATGTAGTTGGAAACGTAATTGGGCTTGGAGTAGTCAGCATATCCACTTTCATAATTTCACTCCAGTTCAGTACAAAAGAGATTCACTTAACTGTAGAAAAAGACAGCTGTTTGACCACTGCACAGATGAAGAGAAAAAACCACTTCTAAGATTAAGTTACACAGTTGACGTTGCTGCCAATGTCACACAGTGTCAACTGAACACAACGGTCGAGAGAACATTCACTGCAGCTAAGCTGGTACTCAGCTCCTCAAATATACCAGTAGTCACACGACGAGTTAAGAATAAGTTAGCAATGATGATTTATTCAATGTTCATCTGCGAGGTTTACCACTTGTGTGCAGCTAGTTACATGAGTCTTGATAGCATGGTCTTATCGATACATGCACATCAACACTTACCTCTGTAGAAATTATATTTCTCAAAACTCAGCGAAATTGAAATGAGTAATTCCAACGTTTCGTTCGACAAACTCGGCCAAACATCTTCAGAGAAATTATGTTTGAGTAAACGAGCAACCGAATGTATGAGTAGCGTGGTCTTCTCTCTTATGGTGCATAGTGAGCATCAAATGAAACCACTGCAACTGTCGATGATTCACTGTGTCCACAGTAACTTATTAAGAGGAGGATCATGACCTCGTCTCCAACTGGTAGTCGAGACGGTAGGAAACAAATGCAGAAAATCTGACCTCTATATGCAGAATAATTATGTTCAGTCACTCACTATGTTCACCTTAGCCTATAATGAAGTCAACATATTTTCCATTAGCATTGATTGAGATATGCAGTTTGACACACCTATCCCATTACTCATATCTCTACCTTTCTTTCCTTGACAGACATTTTATTTGAGATATTTGCCATTTGATGATCTGCATCATTAAGCCCATTATCGTTAGTTACTCAACGAGGTTTGACGCAGTACATTTTTATTGTGTTCACAGAATCCTTTTCTCTCCATCATATTAAATACTTCATTATCATTATTATTGTTTCCTTTAATTCCTAGAGGAAGATAGGGCTTCAGCGGCGCGTCTCCATTGCGTTCGGTTTTCTGCTAGAGTTTTCACCTGGCTCCATGTCTGCCCACACGTTTTCATCTCCTCTTCACATGACCTCCTCCAAGTCTCCCTTGCACTGACGACCAACTCGCCGCTTCCCATTCGGGTTCCACTCGAACGATGGCTCGTCTAGTGATGTCACTTGATGGTTTCCTCAGAGTATGGCCAATCCATCTCCATTTCTTCCTGCCTATTTGTTTCACAATCGGTTCCTGGTTGGTTCGCTCCCAGAGATCCCTATTGCTGATCTTTTCTGGCGATCTGATCTTGAGTACTGAGCGAAGACAGCTGTTAATGAAGGTCTGTAGTTTGTTTGAGATGCTCTTTATGACGCGCCAAGTCTCTGATCCGTATGGTGAGTAGTACTGACTTCACATTGGAGTTAAAAATCCGGATCTTATTTTCGATGCCGAGTGTTGTTGACCTCCACACAGACTTGAGAGTAGTGAAAGCTTGTCTTGCTTTTCCGATCCTTGCATTGATATCCTCGTCAGTTCCGCCTGTAGTTGAAACGATGCTTCCCAGGTAGGTAAAAGAGGTTGTTTCTTTCAGATTCCTCCCAATTTATGTTGATTGTTGTCTGTTGTCATTGTTGCTGTTGGTGGTGTTACCCAGGAGTCTTCATCACCTCTGTTTTCTCTATGTTCACCTGATGTCCTATCTTCTCTGGATGCTTCTTCTGCCAACTTGTTGCTTTTCGCTTGCATATCTTCCAGTTTGTGAGAAACCAGACATATATAATCTGCGAAGTCTAGATCCTTCAAGTATTTTGTGTGAGTCCATTTTATGCCTGTTTCCTCATTTTCTAGTGTTTGTCGCATTATCCAATCTTCTGCAATCAGGAAAATCATTGGCGATAGTAGGCAGCCTAGTCTTACTCCTCTCCTCACTTCGAAGGATTCCCTAAGTTTCCCGTTGTGGATTACTTGGCATGCAGCATTGTCGTACAGCAGTTGGATGAGATGCATAATTGTTGGCGCCACCCCATAGTAGCGAAGTAGTTGCCAAAGCACCTCTCTATCGACGCTGTCGAAGGCCTTTTCAAAGTCGATGAAGTTGAGATAGAGACGTGACTGCCATTCCAGGCTTTGTTCAATGATGATCCGTAATGTGGTGATCTGATCAATGCATGGCTTGCTTCTCCTGAATCCAGCCTGTTCCGGTCGAAGTTTTTCATCCAGGTGGGCGTGTTTGATTCTCTCCAGGATGATGCAGCTTAGTATTTTGCTTGGGATGGACAGGAGCATAATTCCGCGCCAGTTCTTGCATTGACTTAGGTCTCCTTTCTTTGGCAGTTTGAGTAAGTATCCTTTCTTCCAATCCTCAGGGACCTTGGCCTCTTTCCACACCTTCTCCAGTAGTGCCGACATCAAGTTCGCTGTTGTCTCTGGGTCCATTTTCAATGCTTCTGCTGGGATTCCATCTGGTCCTGCTGCTTTTCCAGCTTTTAGCATCTTGATTGCCTTCAGGACTTCTGATTTCGTCGGGGGGTTGGTGTTCACTGGTAGCTCTACCTCCGTTGTTGGTATTGTTGGGCACGTTGTTGGTGGCGGTCGATTTAGAAGTCTTTTGAAGTGTTCAGCCCAGTATTTCCTTTGCTCCACTTCTTTGGTGAGTGACTTGCCATTGTCACCCTTCACCGGCTTGATTTGTGTCAAACGTTTGCCCGATAGGTAACTAGTTGTTTGGTAGAATGTTGCGAGGTCTCCTTTGCCTGTACTGTAGCTTGTTCTGCTTCACTTGCCATGGTTTCATAATATTTTCTTTTGTCTTCTCTGGCACTCTTCTTTACTCCTTTGTTCAGTGTATTGTAGCTTGCATTCAAATCGTGTTTTTGTTGCTGTTCGGTGCACTGGATAATCTTTTGTTTCACCATCCCTCTTACTTTCATCAGTCTCCAAGTGTCCGTAGTGAGCTACAGTTTGTCCTGTCTCTTCTTTCTGCCTAGAACTTCCATGCCGGTTTGAGTCCACACTGATTTCAAGTTGTTCCAGTGCTTTTCGATGCTGACCTCTTCGCTAGTGTTGATTTGTGTCTCTGCTTTGTCCTTTATGCTTGCAGTAAAGACATCCTTTGTATCCTGGTCCTTCAGCTTTTGAGTGTTGAACTTGGCTTGTGGTTTATCTACAGCTCCTGTTTCTCTGAAAGCTTTTAGTTTGATTTGGATTGTCCCTTGTACGAGATAGCGGTCTGAGCCAACGTCTGCTCCTCTTGTTGCTTTTGTGTCCAGTAGACTGCGCCT